GGGTTTTTTTTTGAAGAGGGACATTCAGAAAAAATTAGAAACACCAACATGTGGTGTGTGAGACCAGGCGTGCTGCTGGGGGTGGCTGTGGGGTGGAAGTGCCGTAATGCAGCCAGCTCCACAGCCACCCGTTACTGCATAGCAGTAGGGTGTTTGCCCCAGCAAAGTCCCGAAGTAGTTTGGGTACTCGGATGTCCCCAGCATGGGAACTGTTCTGGGCTGGTAATAGGGAAGGGAGGAGGCCAAAGAAGGGATGTGCTGACATCTAGAAGGGCCCTGCAAGATAACTGGGGATGGTGCACATCGCAGGGCAGGTTCTCAAGCACCACTAAGCTGCTTCTCTCTGCTGAGACACAGCCTGGGCTATCTGCCTGATGCAGCACCATGATAAAGACCAGGGCTTTGGACCTTGTGGTCTCTTACGGCAATCCCACCATGAGATAAGTTGAAACAGTCCAAAGGCTGCTTGAACTAATGCCAAAATGGGCTCTAACACATTCTCAGACACAAGGGCCCAAAGTGCCCCTCAGCAGAAGAGGATCTGCCTCCTGGTGCTGTGGGAAGGCGGAGAGCTCCAGCGCTCATGAAGCTGCTCTAGGAGGGGTGAGTACTTGTGCAGGAAGCATGGGAAATTCCCAATAAAATGGGTGTGGATAATACCAGTTTTAGTTGGATTAAAAAAGCACTGATATGCTCCTATCGTGACATAAGGTGAAAAAGAAGAAAGGGGCATCAGTTGTAGGAACCTAACCGGGGGTCGCTCAGCAGCAGCATTTTGGGGGTAACTGGTAGGACTGTGCTGGTGGGAATGAGGCAGCATCCTGCACGCAGGGAGCAGCTGCTGTTGTGCTTGCCCTCCGCAGCCACTTTGCAGCTCCTTGTTCTCAGTCTGTGTCGGCATGGCATCGGTGGTGGTGTGCACCATGGTTTTTGTGTGCTAATTTATGTGATACGTGTTCAGAGCTTGTGTGTCTGTGCTTATTTTGTGTTGAACTAAGTTATTTTCCTTTATTGTTTATGTTTTTAACTCTCATATTTAACTTGGTTAATTTATGTTACTTATTTTATGTTTGCCATGTATCTTTTCATGAAAAAAAAGTCTAATAAAAATTTTTTTAATTACACAAAAATAAAATTTCCTCAAGATCTGCAGTGTATTCTAACATTGAAAAAAAAAAAAAAAAAAAAAAAAAAACAAAGGTGCTGGCAGGGCTAGGGCCCTAGAAATCTTTCTTCAGGAGAGAAGTTAGGTGGCAAGGCATTGCCTGCCCACTAGCATAGTTCTTGCAGTACATTAGCTAAAAGGTACAAAATCTGAGTCTGTCCCCATGTGAAGAAAACAAGCAAACTGAATACTTTGAAGGCTGATGGAAGTAAGATTTGCTCACCTCCAGCGGAGACCCAGACCAGCCCCTGGTCTGTGAGTCCTCTGCTGGGCTGTTACAGAGGGCTGGGGATGCAGCAGATGCTTATGGCTGGGAAAGGGACAGCAGCGAGGGCAAAAGTGGGTGGCAAGCAAGCAGTGGGGTCCTAGAAAGCCCCAAGTCAGTGGGTGGGGAGCGTGGAGGGGAACAGCATGACAGCACTTTGGTCTGTGTTGATGTGGCCAAGAGGGGAGCCTGTGCTGGAGCACCAGAAGCGTCCCGTATGCTTCCTCTCCCCGCGGCTGCAGCCACAGCTCCCTGCGGAACAAGCACTGCTGGGGGCTCAGGTAAGTGCATGGTGTGCATGGCAGTGCCAACCCGTGCATGCTGGTGGTGGTGAGTGGCTGCATGTTAGACACGTGAGCTGCACTCTGGGACCTTGTGTGAAACCACAGGTACGGGGCAAATCTAAACTTCCTATTTAAAATTATTTAAATAATAAAAAAAAAAAGACACAACAGCCAGATGGAAACTGGTGGCTCATACAGGAGGTTTGAAAGTAGCACTGCTTCCTTTTTGTGTCAAATCCCAGACTTTCATTTCCTCGTATTTGGCTTCTTGCTTATATTAAATTGCTGAATTCTATTTCATTCAAATAATTGCTAATTACATTTTAGTTTAGTAGCTGCTCATCAAAGGCTCAGCCATCGAAGGTGCTATGCAGAACCTGCAACCTGCAGGTTACCCTTCACAACCCCTCTGGTCCCCAGGTGCATGGACCTGGTCCCCTGCATGACACGCAGAATGGGCTACGTAACTTGGAGGCCACATTCTAGGGGGAAATTTCACGTTTATTAAAAATTCCTTGACATTTTTCTTAGACTACTCCAAATTCAGGTTTTACACTGCCTCTAAAACTGAGGCTCCTGTGCTTCCAGTGGTCAGGGGTGAAAAATTCATTGAGCTGCATAGAGAGGACCAAAGGTTCTCCAAGACATGGTGAACCTGTGTGTGACCCCTGCCAGAAAGCTGTGTGACAGTGGAAATGATGAGAAAAGAAAGTGTTCCTGAATCCAACAGGACACACAGCATATGCCCTGCAACGTATGCCCTTCCGCGTGTGCTATGCTGTTTGAGTGACAACAGCCTGGATTTTTAATTGTTGTAACCCTAATTACTAGTGACAAGTATTTTGCAACTGGAGGACTGGGGATTTCCTCATAAGCTTAGACCCTCTGTAAAAAGTTTTCTCTTTACATCCACTCTAATTTTGCCTTAGGTTACTCAGTGTATGCTTATGGCAGAGTACAAGAAGTGCTGTAGTGTGCCGAGCTTAAAATCTTGTGCTTTCCAAATCCCCTGCCAGCACAGCTTATACACAATTTCTCCTGGAAATAAGGCAGGAGTTGTTGACATTTTCATTCAGTGGGGAAAGGAGAGGTAGAAACGTGGGGGCGGCAGCTGGCTTCCTGCTAAACAAAGACATGTGGAAAGAAAAAATAATTTATCCTGGTTGAACCTTTTTAAAGAAAAGGTGAGGTCTTTAGGGCCAAATTTTCACATCATAATAATCTGAAACTTCCTCTCTCTGTCAATGATCTCACCAAAGGAATCCTGACTGAATGTCGGATCAGACCCAAAATGACTTGAGAATTTTTTTGGCACATATTGCACCCAGCTATGAACTGATGTGACCACATCCAGCTTCCTGGAGCAGCCTTCTGCCTGCCCAACCTAGGTGCTAGAGCTGCACAAGCCTCGGGCAGGACCAGCACAGGTGGCCAAGCTGCAGGTCCACCCTCCGGCCACAAAATGCAGGCGCGTGTCTCACTGTTGTTGTCTGAGGGGACACTGACCAAGCCTCGCCTCTCACCTGACCACTGCTGGTGCAGGTGCCCTTCTTTCCAGACATGCAAAAGCTCATCCTGTGAGAGGGGTTTGGTTTTACATCAGTAATACCGTGGGCCAGCCCCTCAGCTGGTGTAAATCAGCAGCAGTTCTCCGAAGACAACCAAGTTACAGTGACTGCCCTCAGCAAGTGGATCCCATCAGCATCTTCACCTGAGACACATTTTACTCCCTTGCTGTTCGTTTTAGTAACAGGGAACAGACACCAGTTCTCCTAATGAAGGGCATTTTTTTCCTGTTCCTCTTTATTTTTTTATGTATTTTTTAATGTTTTTGTTTCTTTCTTTCTTTTTTATACTGAGGATGTCTTCAAGGAGAGACTCCCAAACCAAATGCCTGCATCCCAGCAACCTCCAGCCTGCAGATGCCCACAACCCCACCCGTGAACATGCCTGTGGCTGGGGCCTCTGTGGCCAAAGCCAAACCTCATATTTAGCCCTTATATACTTATGGCTCCCACTCGTAGCCATAAATTTCACAACATCAACCCACACATGCTGGATCCTCTCACCACCTGCCCTACTGGGGAGCTGGTGCTGCGCTGAGAGGGGCTCCCCCTGCCCTCCAGCAGGACGTGTGCTGCAGAGCTGGGCCTTGGATCCACAGGGTGGCTGACGGTGGAGCCCACTGAGGGAAATATTTGCCACAGAAAGCCGTGAGCAGGAGCTGGCATGTCCCCACGCCACCTGCCTCAGGGAAGATAACAGGAGAAACCTGCCTGCCATTATCTGCAGCCCTGGCCTCAGCTCCCAAGCCCCACAGAAGGCTTGGCCACCTCCTGGGGTTGCACCAGGCCCAGCTTCCCAGGGGCACATTCAAAAATAAGAATAACCAGGAATTTGATTTATGGTGAAGGAAAGCAGGCCTGCCTTAAATGGCGGCGGTGCTGTGTGGGCAGCTGGGCCCGGAGGGAGCCGGCCCTCGGCCTAGCAGTGCTGGGCAGGCAGGAGGGCAGTGGCGGTGGCACGCCTGTCCTTGGCGGATGGCCGTGTGACAGCAGTGCTTTTCACAGCAAAAACCCATCTGATCAGGCTGCGAGTGTTTGTGCAGCCAAGCAAATTGCTTAGTAAAGGGCACACATCTGAGCAGCAACTTCAGGCTTCTGCAGGGAGCTGCCGATTCCTCCCGCTGTAGCCCTGAATGAGAAATCAAAGGGGCAGGAGCAGGAGGGGTCCTTTTTTCTTGGAGTGCTAACATCTTAAATAAGGATTATTTCAGATTACTTGCTAAATTTTACATTTCAAATTTTCCTACATTTTGCACATGCTCATTTTCACTACATAACGTTTGTCTTTGCCTGGATCTTTTCTTTCAAACAGCAATTAGCAAGACTCTGGAAGGAAATCTTGGCTACACAGAGTAACACGCAGGAGGTTGGTTAAGATCTCCCAGGTATTGCATGACTCTCTGGTACTCCCCAGATGTCTATTTCAACCAGGAATTTTTATTTTCTGAGAAAAACAGCATTTTTCAAGAGGAAAGCTGTGTAGCACCTGGTGAAGTACCTGGAGCATCTTTACATTGCTGGAGCTGCCATTGCAGAGCCATCAATGTCCCCTGCACTCCTTTCCTACTGTGTGTGAATGGAGGAGACCTGCTCTTCTGCAAAAATGCAGTACCCAAAACACCCTCACTTCCAGCCAGACCATCCCACAGCCCCCATCCTGTGGCGGCAGCTTCACTCACACTCCAGGCTTCTTCTCACTGTCTGTCTGTCCCTTCCTGCAGGGAAAGTCTCTGACTAGCAAGCGCCTGACGGGCCTGATGCAGTCCTCCTGACAGCCGCCGACGGCCGCCCCGCCGGAGCCACAGCAGTTTCGGGGAGAGCGGGGTGCTGCGGGGGAGAGCACGAGGAAAAGCAGGGAGCAACGCGCCGGGGGAGAGCCTGCTCATCACCGTTTACATCGGCACTTTCTTACCTGTACAGCCTTGCAAGGACACTGAGCTCGGCACGGGTACTTGGGGGCCTTCTTGCTTCTGGGGGAGCATGTGCCGCTGCACACAGGAGGCAACAAGATAAGCGCACGGTGTCTTGTTATGTAAGGAAACAGACCCAACTGCAGCTTGGAGGAAGAAGAGCTGAGAGAGATCGGTGTTTTTCCTTCACCTCTTCTCTCCCTGGCACAGACACGGCTGTAATAGATGCCACCGCAATCCCATTTGCTCCCTTTCTTGTGGCCATCTGGATCCAGTAAAATATCTGCTGGAAGCTCCTTCTCCTTTCCACAAAGTATCAAATGCATTTCTCCTGCAGATTCATTGACTTTAGCGTTGTTTTTTCTTTCCTATGTCTCTCCTCATCTAAAATAACAAGAAAGAAAGGCACTACTCAAGTTCGTCACTTGCTGTCCTTCCAATGGCATGTAGCATGTCCAAAGACAATGGCCAGATCCTCAGCTGTAGGCAGAAGAGCATGAGTGGCTTTCACCACCTGAGGATCTGCCTTATGGAGTCAGACTCTGATTTTGGTGCAAATCCTCTGACATCAGCGGGATTGCTCTGCATGTACATTTAGTGCAAGTGTGATCAGAGTCTGCCTGATGCTCAGAGTCATGTTTTAGATGTATAACGCACTTATGCACAAACACACAGACACACACATGCGGTATTTAAAAGTGAGTTGTTTTATATTGTATTTGGTTTTCTATTTATTTAAGGTTTTGCATACTTATTCAATGATGGATGTTCAAGTTTTACTGCAAGTACATAGAGTTGAACCACTTAGAGGTAACTCCAGCTCTAATTAGAGCCAAAATCTGTTCATGTGTATACAGGGAAAGGTAACTGCTGTGGGCAGGTGTGGTGGAGAGCAAAATTCAGTCCACAGCAAGGAGAGAACTGATGGAGACGGGCTTGGCAGAAGCAGCTTGAGACTGGGCAGGCACTGGGTGCCAGCTAACCCTCCTGAGCAGCAGCACCCCCGGCCAAGCTGCCACCCTCAGGTATCTGACCCAGCTGAGGAGCACCGCTGTAAGAGCGCACTCACCACTCGAGGAAATGAGTTCCCATCTGAGGTAGAGCCCATGAATACAACTGCAAGAGGTGACCCAATAGCTTGTGTCAAAACACTGGGATTTTGGAGGTCAGGATAAGGACAGAACTGAAGTGACTTGTTTAATGCTAAAACCCACGTTATACTAGCTGCAGATACGGAAAATGGACTGCATTCATATACAGTATATTGCCTATATACAAAATTTTCAAGACTCAGTTGACTTAGTGCCACAAAACCTCCTATATTTTACAAGCCGTTCAGATCTGAAGTGTATGTGAAAATAGACACTTGGTCTTCTTCACTCATGCCAAGCCAAGCTGGCTTTTTGTGCAGGTGGTAGAAATTGCTATATGGCTACAAGTCCGCATTCCTATCAAGGCAAAATTATCTATCTCGCTAAGTAGACAGCTGGCTACCAACAATATCCACTTCTGAGGCAAGTATTATCCTAACATTCAAGGCCTATGTATGCACAAAATCAGGCCAGCATAGTTTCTGTCAGTAAAAGGACTTTCCCTCTTTACCCATGAAATTTCTCATTTTGATACCTCAATTATTTTTCCCAGACAGCTCCTGTTAACAGTTTTACCTAAGGTCCATAGGACTCTCTACACCTGCATGACTATAAGTAGAGTACTGAGTATGATACTTGTTCTTTACACTCCCCTAATTCCCATAATCAGCCTGTTTTCTGAGGTCTTCAGGCCTAATTCATTGGCAAACAAGTGAGCTTCAGGACTGCAGAACCATCGTGGATGTGTCTGAACATTCAGGTGGTGTCCTGCCTCTGAAGGGGACGTTTAGTCCCCTCCAAATGGTCACCCAGCTGTCCTGGCAGGACCCGTTTGTTCTCTGTCAGCCCCCCAGCCACAGGTTCCCCTCTGGCAATGGCGGGGCTTTGTGCAACAGGCCCAGCTGTCCATCCAGGCACATTCATACATGCCCCCTTTTGTCATCCCGAAGAACAAAGGCTGGCTCCTCTCAGAGCTCGCTGATCATAGTGCTATCAGTGCTAAGCCCACCACTGCCACACGTTGCTGGAGGTCTGTAGGCCAACGACTGCTCACACCCCAAGCAGCTCTGGGCCAAGGCACTCCCCCAGTTCCTCTCACGGGAGGTCTGTCTTGTGAATCCCAAACCAGTTTGCAGAGCAATCCTGAGCAGGATGCACACATCAAGCATGAAACTGGTGCATAGCGAGGAGCAGCGCTGGGGAACAAAGGGTCACCTGCACACAGGCAGGGCTGAGGGCTGCCAGCCCCATTGTTCTGTGCAAGCTGCATATGGCAGTGGGATGGATGAGAGCAGGGTCCGGCCCATGCAGAGAGCAGCAGCACCAGGCTTTGACCCAGAGACGTGCCGCTGCCCTGTAAGCAAAGTACCCGGCTCCTCTCCCCTCTCCCCTTCTGCAGGACAGTCGTGTCAGCTGCCGCAGTGTTTTGCCCGCAGGGAACAGGCTGTGTTTGAACAGTTGAGAGCATGGAGGGAGCTTCTAGGACACAGAGAGCATGCATATGGGCGTACATCAGGGGGCCTGGCTGCTGAACAGCTTGCCATCTAAATGCACACTCGTGCAAGCTAATCTGCTCCGCAATGGCGAGCTGAGCGGACAGAGCTCAATATGCTCTGGAGACAGGAAAGCTCCCCTCCTTGTTTCCTGACCAAATTTCTCTAAAACAAACATCATGAGAGAAGACAAGGCGTCCTCCTGGGAGCACATATGAACTGCTCTTCACCTGTCTTTTACTTCACACATGACGATACTAACATATAATGACTTCCACATGAACTGCATCCTTGAATTATTGCTCTTTAATGACATTGCTTATTGCAAGTGATGCTTTTCTTGCACACTCACTAGTACCCCGCTGAGTGCTGCAAGCAGTAACCTGCTGCTTTATAAGCATCCCATGTCTTCCAACTACCTCATCACCCAGAAGATGAGTTAGGAAATCAGCTTTCCACCTCTATTTGTGTTCTAAATGGCATTGTTTCAAGGAAAGGCAGAACTGGAAAGCTTTTACAATCTTCACGCTGTGAAAGCTAGCCACCAGGCGTCCCATGCTTGCAGGGCTATGGCTGTAAAATATGGCTGTACACTGCTATTTGGATAATGGAGTATCCAAAGCATTCATAGCTACTGTGGTGGATCAGCACCGGGATGAGCACAAGGAAGGTTCGACAAGTCAGTGCAGCGCCAGGCTAAGGCAAATGGATTAATACACTCTCAGTATAACTCAGTGCTAGGATCCCATAGAGTACTGTAATAAAATGGTAGCAGGGCAGCCATAAAAAGTCACAGTAAGCTGACATAATACCAGGATAAATGTAGCAATAAGGTAACACAGGCCACTGCAGTGAAGTAGCATTTTGATAATGCAGCAATAAGACAACAGGGCGCTGCAGTAAATTAGTTTGGGGAATAAGGCTGTAGTATCAGCGTGTGTGGACAAACTGTGGTACATCTGTACCAGGTACTGCAGCAATAAAGATAACACGAGGTCTTCTAGTAATAAGTTACTACAGTAACAGCAACATGATGCACTGTACAGCTCTATCAGGATGCTTCCATGCTGCAGTCAAATCCTACAAGACATGGTAGAAAGACAATGAAGGCAAAATGTGCCCCATTTTGGACCACAAATAATGGGTCTGTTTTCTGCAGAGTAACCAAAATCCTGGAACAATCTTGGCAATACTGATCCTATCAGTCCCTGCTTTCAAGGAAGCTGAGGCAAGAGAGTTCCCCCATCCAGTCTATTATTTTGGTCTGAAAATACAAAATCAACTTGTTGTCTCTTTGGCCAAATTGTCACAGGCAGTGGCAAAGTTCTTTGGTTGGTCCTTACTCAGGTGACACCCCAGCGATTTCAGTGGTCCTTTGCCTTGGGAAGGATTTGGCTCTGTCATCTTCTGGCATGGGTGGTGCTTTCAGCCTACAACTCTTTCTGTTTTGGGGCGGGGGAAGGAGAACCCAGGTACAGGACATCCAACTGTACTGGCCTGTTTCCTGAAATGCACAAATAAATTGAGCATCCTGGAAAAGTCAAAGCAATGAGGCCCAAATCTGTTCTGTCTGTCATGCACACACACGTACATGAATAATCCTGCTGGGATCAGTGTGAGTCCCGTATGCACCCGTGGGACCTGTTCTCAGTGTGTCTCCAGCTGGGTGACTGAGGCAGGTTTTATTTCTTATTGCCTTTCCTGCTTTTTTTTTTTTTTTTTTTTTTTAAAAAAAAAAAAAAAAAAAAAAAAAAAAAAAAAAAGCATCATCTCTATGTGAAATGTCATTAGAAAAAATCAGTCTAATCAGTCTGCCATAAGACAACATGTAGCACAGTGGGCAAAGAGCAGGTGTGTCCATGTGCTGTCTTTGTACCCTTCAGAAAAGGGTAAAGCGTGCTGGAAAGAAAAAAAAAAAAAAAGCAGAAGCCACTGCTATGCTCAATAATAATCAGGCATAAGGTTTGAGCCAAAGCATCTATGTCAAACTGTGAAGCCTGACTGGAGTGTGTGTGCTAGATAACAAGCTGGTCTCCTGGGGAGGGGATGTAAATAGGGCACCACTGCAAATTATGAATAGTGGGAGCAGCTCACAGCTGGCTCTGGCTCCTTCAGCCGGTCCCAACAGATATGGGTTTTGTGGCACGTCTTTCCAACCCCTCACACAACAGCTTTGCTGTCCCTTGATATGGCTTCCTCTGTCTAGAGCTGACGGAGCTCAGTTCAGATTTTGAGCAGTGCTCTGATACGCCTTGGCTTGGCTTTTTCCTCCAACTCCTTGGCTTGCTCTTATTGTGGTTTAATGATTAAGTAGGATTATTAAAGTAGAGCTCACAGTGGGGTAAGATAGGCTGGGTTATCATGATTTCATAGCTTAAGCTGTGAGCAATTTTGCAGCTTCTCAGCACTGTTTATAACCTGAGATGGAGAACAAGTGAGGCAGCTGCACAGCAGAACAGCGAGCTGTCGAACAATACACTATCTTCATGCCCATATGTACTTTGAACTTACTGGTGAGGAGAAATGCTTTGTAGTGAGAAAAGTAATCTCACGGCAGGAGAGAGTCAGCCCTGATCAACTTTTTCATGTGATACAGATTTTGCTTTGCCAGCCCCTAACATCTGCAAAGCTCACCACTAAGAGCCAGCAACCTTCTAATCCTGCTGCTGAGCATTTGAAAACAAGCTTTTGAAAAGGCTGCCTTAGACAGCAATGCTATTACTCACAGCCTTTTAACGTGAATTTATGGCTATTGCCACAAGTGTCAGTGTGGCTGCCCTCTCGCATTTGCAGTAGGAAGCTGTGGATTCACCCTGCACGGAGGGAGGAAGCTGGTGGGCAGAATTTAGGGAGCAGCTTGCAGGCTCGGGGCTCAAATGTATTGCAGGCAAAGGAGCCTAATGCTGTTGGAGAAGGTCGGATGTGCCCAAGCCATCCACACAAGGCTGACAGCGAAGTCATTGGATTTACCAGTGCATCCTGACTGGAGGCCTACAAAGGTAGCCTGGAACTCCTTGTGTGGCAGAAAACAACTCCCCATGGGCAACTGCATTGACCCCTGACTATTGCTGCCTATCAGAGACATGACACTGAGCTTCCATCTCTTGTCTTTGGGGATTTAAACCATGCTGTCCTTTCCCTAAACTGTGGGAGGCAGAGACCTGGCCTGATCCTTCCACAGCTGCACTAGGAAATCCTTGGCTGGGCTGGGACGTCAGGAGTGATTGGTCCCTTTTGGACCCTTGTCAAGACGTCTCACGTCCATCTGCATGCAGGTTGTTCCTGTGTGCCGCATAGCTTCACAGCCCCGTGCTGCTGGGGCCTGATTCTTGTCATACTCAGTGTCAGCCTGATGCCACGTGGGTTAAGGCACACCAGATAAAAACATTCAAACGATGCTTTACACGGCACAGCACTTCCCCTAAAAGCATTTGGGATTCAGAAATGCCCGACTGTGAGGTCATTTGGAGCCAAACACAGAGAAACGAGTCACTGTGGGACATTTCTCTACAAGGAAAGCGCTCTGAAGGGCCCCTGACCCACGTGCTTGTGTGCGACTGAGGGCCTGGACACTGGGTTCAGGCCACGGGGACTTGCCCAGCACAGCAGGCTCGCTGGTGCCAGGACCCGGGGGGTGTCCCATGGGGTGGTGGGGATGGGGCCTGCTGCAGGAGGAGCACGAGGGTGCAGGAAGGGGCGCTCCCAGGGGGCAGACGGGCTCTGTGGGTCCCTGCTACGGGTGAAATAGCCCAGGCTGGGGAGGTGGGAAAACGCATCCCCTTGCATGACCTCCCAGCACAGTGGGGACGTGTCACTGCCACTGAGTATTTTTGGCCTTGCGCAGGCATGGCAGCCGCTCAGGATTTAGACTTTGGACACTTCTGGGCAGGGCGGGCAGCCAGCTGGCCGGTGCTGGGCCGCAGCTGCGCCCGCGGCGGGGAGCGAGCAGGAGCCTGCGGTGCTGCCGCCGGGCTGCTCAGGGCACCGTCAGGCTGTTTAACCCTTCCTCAGGCACCCCCCAGCACCTGTGGTGATTGCTTCAGCTCCTGTGGCTCCCAGCTGCCTTTTTGCCTCGTCACTCCTGTTTTCTCTGGCCCTCTCTTAGGCTCATCCGTGCGGCTCCTAAAGGGGCTGCCAGATTGAGCTTTCCCCGCTGGAGCCGGCTGAGCTCTGTACCTGCTCTGCAATTAAAGAAACAGGCGGAGGGTGATGCATACGTGGGCTTGGACTCACCCCTTCTTTGTCCCAGTTTCAGAGCCACAGGGCAGCCTGGCCTGTCAGCAGGACTGGGCTTGTCCTGAGCAAGGGCAGTGGGAACACCTCGGCAAAGGCTGCTGGCTGTGTCCAGGACTGCCCTTCTGCCACCTCCGGGACATTTCTGCAGCTGCACATTTGTCTGTGCAGCCAGCAGCAGTCGATGGCTGATACCAGATGTTAGATCCTCCATGCTGGGGCACAGACATATTTTGGGCATGTGCTGGCGAATTCAAGCTAACTAGAGCTTTCTGCAGCCTAGAGAAAGCTTGCTTTGCCCATGCCAAAAAGGCCCCTCAGCCAGCCCTGCTCATACATACGTACACAGGCACAGATAACACAGGGAGGAAAAAAACAAAACAAAACAAACAAAAAACCCTCTTTGTTCAGCATGACAGATCATCTGCTGTGGGCCACCTGCAAATTGCAGGTCCTTTCCTGGTGCCAAACTCCTGAGCTTCTGCAGGGCTCTTCCCTGAGTTACCCGGCCCCAAATTACCTGTCCTCCCATGTCGACCCACCACTGCACACCAAGCCATTCTGCTGTGATGCTGAAGTTCCCCACTGCACCTTGCCTCTCACCCTGCAACACAGTGTTCACGTGGCCAACACCACGCAGGGCTTAGCAGCTCTCTGCAGTCCTTTACTTGAGAGAGCAGCCCAGGGGGAGCTTCGTGGGGAGCAGCCCAGCAAACCACAGGCTTCTGACCATGGACAGTGACCGGACAAGTAGCACCAGAGCTACCTGCACCAAACTGAACATGACATTGGTTACAGTGGGCTTTCTCTCTTACCCTCGGTGTTATGAACGCAGCAGTAATTTTGCATTGCTGTAGCAGTGATGTGGGAGTGACCTTTTGATTCATCTGCCAGCAATTTGAGGTCTCTTTGGGTCACAGAAATGATGTGCCCTGGCTGCAGGTTAAGGGAGCCGGACCAGCATCCTCCTGCTGGCTCCCTGCTGCCCAGCTTACCCTTCCCTCCCTGACTTTCTCTTCTAACTAAGCCATCGGTTCCCAGAAAACAGCCGTGTTACTATATTAAGTTGATCCTGCCCTTGCTGTTTCTTTGTTTCTGGGGAGTCTTAAGCAAATCAAGTGGCAGAGCATATGCAGAGCACCACAGGCTCCGTGTCAGATGACAGGACAGTCCAAAAGGGAAGAGAGGGCAAGAGAGAAAGCTCTGTGTTTGCATTCATCTCTGACATGATGGATTTCCCCTTCCTGGAAGAAGCCTTGGCATAAATAAAACCAGTAAAGGCTTTTGTGTAAGAACTCCCTTCACTACCAATAGTCATGGAGTCATAGATAATAAAAGACCTGGCAGCTAATCTTGCATTGCTCTGTGTAATCAGCAGGATTTTCTCTACTGAATATTCACCGAGGTTGCTTTATGTACCATGCCTCTGAAATCTCCAGGGATGGGACCTCAAAAGATGCCCTCAAGAACACATTTTTCCATACTTGAAACATTCTTACTGCAAGGATAAAACCCAAACCTCTGATCTAAAACATAAAAAGCCATCTCTGAGTGAGTTTAAAAACAGTGAGAGCCATCTGTAGGCCACAAATAGCAAAGGTGTTCAGCACTGTGGATTTTTTCCCCAAGTAGTTCCCGTAATGTATTTTTTTGCACTGTCTTGAGCCTATTGTTCCTTGCACCACCGTCCACTCCCACCCTGCATCACTGACGCAGAGCAGATGTTTGTGCACTGTCAGTGTAGGTACTTGTGGGCTATTGTCTTTTCCCCACCTCAGATTATAAATCTGAGTAAAGCTGTTTTCATATGCCAGTTTCTCAAAGATTGCTATCAACTTTGCTGCCCTTCTCTTTGTTGAAAAGATCAGTCAAGGAAAAACATAACAAAGTGGGACAGAAGGGCTGTGCTAGTCCATACGGCACAATTACCCCATCATTTCTGCAAGCGAGGTAGCACCCTAGCATTGTGCATCCATGTGTCACACATGTTGTGGTGTAACACATTTTGCTACATCTATGGATTGCCATCTTTGACCACCTTGCCTACCTCCATCCTACACTGCCATCTGTTCTGTGGCTTACCTCCCCCAGTCCACACTCCTCAGTACCTATGGAGGGCTGCCAGGAAAATGGTTCCTCCTTTTCTTGCCAAATTTGGAATTTCAGTTGCAAATTTACCCTAGCAAGAGTGCCAAGGGAAGGCAGAGTCAATGCCAAACCCATTCCAGCTTTCCTGTTGGGCACGTTTTCAATGCTGTCGCAGGAGATGAAAAGGGGAGCAGTCCTGTCTGAAAGGGGCCATGTCCAGCACCACGA